TGAGCTCCACACGTTCACTCTATTACAGTGTTGTTTACATTCTGTGATGCCCGAGCTGATGACGTCACGTCAAGACGAGTTAACTTTTTTTTTTCAACTTTGTGTGGAAAAATGCGGGGATTATGCGGCCTTTTGATAAATATGCGGTCTTTTAGAAATCTGCGCCATTTTGCTGATTATGCGGTAAATTCTGCGATCGCAGAATCGCGTTTTTCTGGAGGGTCTAAATGATAAAGTGTTTGTCCAAATCCTTTACATACTAACGCTGTCGTTTCTAATGTAAGTCTTGATAACATCCGTCTTATTGTTTAATTTTCTATTTAAAGTACTTCTTTCTGTGTCCTGAGGTTGCTTGTTTTATTGGGAATTACGTGATGTACTTCCTCCAAATGAGCTGTAGTTTATTACTCAAGCACCACAATTCTATTACCAAGGTAATGTTGCACTGTTATCTATTTATAGAATATATCATGTCAGAAAAATTGTAAATCACAAGCTTCCAGAGCCCGCAGTGGCATCTATCATATTTTTTTCTTACAATAAAAAGCTATAAAAATTCAATTTACAATGGTAAAGAAAACCGTAAGAGAACATTCTTCATCTTAAGAAGCTGGAAAGGGAGATTATTCTTTGCCTATTGTTTCTTGATAAACGACCTAAAATATGAATAGAATATTTGAGGACACATAAGATAACAATGGGTACCTCCAACCATCTTTTAATATGTCTGCACCGTTGTGATTTGTGCTCAACCATCAGAGCTGCATGCTTGTGTGTTGTGTTTGATCTCGGGCACTTTTGAGAGTCCTCCAGAGCTCTGGGGAATCTCCTGGCCTTTACTTCCAGCTTTATCTCCCCCTCAGGAACCTCTGGGCAATTATTCTTCAGAATAACACATCTGTCTAATAAGCGAGGCTGGGTTGTGCGCATTATAGAGCTTAGGGCTGCTCAATTAATCGTATTTTAATCGCAATTATGATTTTGGCCTGCAACGATTGTTAAAACAACATCGAAATAAAACGATTCTTTATTTTTTTTATTGGTTTTTCAGTTGAATTATACTTAAAGTTCAGGGTAATCAACTGTTAAAAACATATTGTTCAACATTTTTTTTTCAATAAATGGACGTTTTCAAAGTAAATGGATAATCGTTTTTAAGAATCGTGATATCAATTATTGAACCAAATAATCGCGATTATGATTTTTGCCACAATCAAGCTTTAGTTTTACCTTGGGCACATCGAAGGGCACCTCCTGGCCGTTAATCTTCAGGATTTTGGCCAGCATGAACAGGGTCCTCTCTCTGGGGATGATGTTCTCTTCCTGCATCTTCGTCCAAAGCCCTTCTGCTTTCTTCCACTCGTTTGTTGCCTCTGCAAGAAACAAAGCAGTGAGATTAAGACAAGGTGTGTTTCTCATGATCGTCCACCTCTCTCCACTTCAACCTAACGTCTGCTACCGACCTCATCAACAAGGCCTGGGGACCCCGCTGACACCGACTCTTACCCTTTTTGAAATGACATTTTCTCCTTTCTCCATGTTTGTACAGTATGCATCATTTACACCAAAACAAAATCATCATGTGTAAAACTCATTCGTAATAAAAACGTTTCTGATTCTGACAGTCGGCCCATACTGCTCATCACTCGGCCTGCACCATAGAGTATTTTCAGACAAAGCACTACATGCTGAGAGAGAGCAATCAAAGCACTAATCTGATCAACTGACTGGCCCTCAACTATGCTGTCATTTAGGAAACACACTAACTAGAAGGTGTGTGTGTGTGTGTGTGTGTGTGTGTGTGTGTGTGTGTGTGTGTGTGTGTGTGTGTGTGTGTGTGTGTGTGTAGGTAGTAGGTAGTAGTACGTAGTACGT